TGCTAGTGGGAGACGGAGGAGGAGGAGGAGTAGGGGACGGCGCACACAACAGGCACCCCCATAACCGCCACCCCCACACTCGCCACCCCCAAACCCTAAAACGGGTGGCACGGGGCAGGAGCGCGGGGGACGGCGCGCGGCCCTGGGGCAGGCTGCCCGGGCCGCGCGCGGGCCTGTCGCAGCCCAGCTGTACGGGCCGCGCGCGGGCCTGGCGCAGCCCGTACGGGCCGCGCGCGGGCCTGGCGCAGGTCGCGCGGGCCGCGTCGGGCGACGGGGGGCGACGCGCGGGTCCGCGGGCTCCGTGACGGGCGACGGGGGGCGCTCCGACGGGCGACGGGGGCGCTTCGACGGGCGACGGGGCGGTCGACGGGAGGGGGGGAAGCGCGGGTCCCCGGGGTGACGCACGAGGGAGGAAACCGCCGCGCGCCTCGGGGCCACGGCGGGCAGAAAAAAACAAACGAACATCGCGCGCCACGGGACGCGCGACACACAGGAAGGCAGCGGAAGCAGGCGGGCCCACAGGCCAGGAGCGTAACCGCCCTGATAGCATGTCGTAATAGTAGGCAGAACGAGGAGCCATAGTTAGGTAAAACCCTAGCTAGGCAAGAGAGAAATGAGCAAAGGAGGAGGTTTCACTAGCTGCCCTAACTGGGTTGTAACGCTATAGAGCACCCCACTACAGGCTAGATAATAACATTCTGACACTCACCCCCATACTTGCCACCCCCAAACCCTAACACAGGCAGCACGGGGCAGGAGCGGGTGCGCGCACGGCAGGGCAGGTGCGCGTGGGCATGGTGCAGGCTGTGCGGGCCGCGCATGGGCCTGGCGCAGGCCGTACGGGCCGCGCGCGGGCCTGGCGCAGGCCGTACGGGCCGCGCGCGGGTCCCAGGGGCGCTTCGATGAGCGACGGGGGGCGCTTCGACGGTGGGAAACCGCCGCGCGCCTCGGGGCGCTCGGCGGGTAGAAAACCGCTGCGCGCTCCGCGCGCGCGGCGAGCAGAAAACAGCCACGAAGCGTGGCGGGAAGAAAAAACGTCGCGCGCTACGAAGCGTGCGACAGACAGGACAGCAGCGGAAGCTAACGGTGGGCCCACAGGCCAGGAGCGTAACCGCTCTGATAGCATGTCAGAAACTAGAGACAGGAATGAGAAACAGGAAAGAGGGGTTGCACTAGCAGGCAGTTGAGTACATATAGCAAACCCTATTTCAGGCTGTACTCGCTATAGAGTACCCCACTGCAGGCTAGACACACATCACATTCTGACAAAGTGCACTACTATTAGAGTGTACTCGGCGAATACCGCAACACAAGGTGCGGTGTGTGGAGTCTCGCTACTCCGCATAGGGCTGCTACACGCAAAACCAGGTGTGTGCAGGGCTTCGCCTTAACACAAGGCGGCTTGCCAGCATTGCAATCGGGGGTGGCTCTGTTAACGGGAGTGGAGTGTTGGCCCCGCCCTCGCTTGGGCAACGCCGACGACTTGGTCGGATGTACGGGAGTAGCAGCCGACCGTTCACAGTGGGAGAGCTGCTCGACAGGCTTCGTCGAGCTGCAGGGGACCGCTGTGGTGTTGCTGTCGACCAGGGAGCTCGACAGCTGCAACTGACTGGTCTGGGCGACGGGTGGGCCGTCGATCAGGAGGGGCCGTTCGACCGGAAGGCCCGTGGAGCATCCCGTCGACCTGCAGCTCGACCGGGAGGTCTACAGAGCATCCCGTCGACCTGCAGCTCAACCGGAAGGTCTACAGAGCATCCCGCCGACCTTCAGTTCGACCGGGAGGTCGACGGAGCTGCCGGTCGAACTGCACTTCGACTGGGAGGTCGACGGAGCTGCCGGTCGACCTACAGTTCGACCGGGGAGGTCGACGGAGCAGCCGTCGACCTGACAAGTATGCAGCGGTCGACGAGGGGATCTCGGCGACAACCGCTGATGGTTCTGGTCGACGGAAGGGGTCCGTCGACCAGGGGGTAGCTGTGGTCGACCAGGGGCACCTGGTGGTCGATTAGAGGGACCTTGTGGTCGACCAGAGGCAGTGGTGGTCGACCGGAAGCACATGGTGGCGTCCAGGTCGATCGGGTAACCTGTACGACGAGTTCTGCGGAGGCACGCGAACGTCGTCGAGGTCGCGATGGCGAAGGCGACTTCGGGCTGGTATCCCGAAGTCGATGTGGCTCGTCAGGCGCAGACAACAGCCGAAGGAAGCCCAACGAGGCAAGTCGGGCCAATCGTCTGCGCGCACCTGCGAGCGTGCGCACTGCTGTGCTCTACGGGGCAACGCTGGACAGCCGCTCTGCTGCAGCGTTGGCACGCCGTCGACCTGCTCTGCTGGCAGGTCGCCCTTCTGCAGTGCTGGCGCGGCTCCTCTACGCAACGCTGGCAGGCGGTCGACCATGCAGTGCTGGCGGTCGACAAGGCTTGTCGCAGAGTTGCTAGGTGCCTGATGTAGTCATTCTGTCATTGCTTGTTCAATCATTCTGTAATTCCAACTTTGCCTAGTGAATCTCTTGCTGATTTCTCCCGTGTTTGCGCAAGCGTTAACGAACTAAGCAAAGCTTCGATCATTCATAGTAGTTCGTGCCTACCCCGTAGTCTAGCTCACTACCGTTGTAGAGTGAATCTCCACAAGCTCTAGAGCATGTGCGCATCCATCTCGCAGGTGCGTATAGGTGGTTAAGCACGCCTCGCACCATCCTGAGAATTACGCTGGTGCCAATTCGGCCACATGCTGACAGTTCAGCCTGTTGGGCTACGGCGACCTCGGGATACCAGCATGAGGTCAGCTTCGCCAAAACCACACGGACGTCGTTCGCGCACCTCCGTAAAACTTCGTCGGCCAGGTTATGAAGTCGACCGGAAGATGCAGCCGACGTCCACAAGTCGGCGGCTCCCAAGTCAGCGTTATGCCGACGAACACCTTTGTCGACCAACGCCTAGGCCGGCTTTGCCGAAATCGGCTCCGCTGTAGCCGACTTCCTCCACGTCGATAATCGTCAAAGTCGGCTAATCCGTAAGTCGAAGAACCCCTCCTTAATGGTTTCGCTCGACAAATTCCATCGACCTGCTTGCCCTAGTTGGTATCGACCACTGCAAGCAGCCAGCCACACCTTAAGTGTATTCCACTGCAAATTCTGCTCCACCCAAGTGAGGCAGGGCCACACTCCCGTCGACAATTGACCCGGAGTTAAATCCACAAGAACTCCGAAATGTGCAACCGCCGACTCTCATGCAGACAGAGAGAAATTGCATGAAGATAAGCAAAACACACCCATTCAAATTCTTCAGCATGCACCTCTTATGCCGATAGTACGCTCCATAGTCACCATGAGGTGGAAGATTGCCAAGAACCAGCACAATGTCACCTACATTGCAATCGGAGCCAAGAATTCCAAAGTCTCAATGTTACAACAATGTAAACCTAGTATAGTTATAGCATATACACCTTTTTGCCCCTCTAAGCAATAACATATGGTAATTCGAGTTACATACAATGTGTCTTCTCAATAAGGTGTTCATTCTGAGTATTATGTGGTTAATCTGGGAGTACGGACATAAAGGCTGAACAGAAGTAGGAACTAAACGAAGTGAGATTGAGACATATTGTACCCTGCTAATTCCTAAGCACAGTAAACCATGTCCATGCTGATATTTTGTTCAATTACCATACTGCCAATAGCGAAGTTCAAATTGTAGGATGTTTTTGGAGGGAATCTCTTCTTCCCGCCATTGGTTTTTGTTTCCGTCTGCCAGTTCGCACCTTCGCTCTCCTGTTTTTTTGGGTGGAGGCTTGTTTCAGCCACAAGCCTCAGTGCGCCGGAATCTGCAGCTTCGCGGCTGTCGACGTTCCGTGCCTAGTGGTTGCTTGCTCTTTTAAGCCGAACCTCCGTTCGCGTCGCCAGTCGGCGGTACCGCCACTGATTCGAAACAGCACAGTGTTCTGCTCTTGGCGGAGATTAGGGCCAGGTCAGCTCCTTCCAATGGATTCCAGACGGTTCACAGCGGTTCCTATAATCACCGTTTAAAACCTTGACGGAAGAAAAGCCTTGAGGATGAACGTAAGGTTCACAGCGAACGCGATGGCCTCGCCCCTACTTTCAGGGTCAAGAATAGACACGCAGAATGCTTCATGCGTTTCCACCCCAGGTCCAGTATACAGCTGATGCTCACCCCATGCACGCGAATTTTCCCTGCGCCGGATGGATACGCTGCACCCGAGGTTGTTTCCCCAGCTTCATGCACCTACATTACAAGCGCGTCGCGTGTTTATCAACCAGTAGTAACGAACAGACCGACGTCAAACTAGGTACAGACCGAAGTCAAGCAGAGGAGACTGAAGTCAAACTAGGTTACAGATCTTGTTTATAAGCACATGCGAATCATTTTTAGCTAGCTGCGAATTGCCGAAACTTATGCGAAATGCTCGTGACAGCTTATACGCCCCCTTCGTAAGGCAACCGGGAGGGGCTCAAACAGGCATCAGGTGTACTGTACCACCGGACAGAGTCTGTATGGGGTGTTTCAGCCAAAGGTTCAGGCCGTACTGACCGACAACGTACAGAATGAAACGAAAACCCACCGTCCATTTTGGTACCAATTTCTTGGCGCAATTCCTGGTCCTATGTTGACCAAGCTCGCTTCTATGGCAATCACTTCGGAAACCACGTGCCTATGTAGTTCCCGTTTCGCCTTGTTCTCCCTCTCACCTTGTCGTTGCAACACTCATTCACTATTACTGTACGCCTTAGCCGTGCTCGCCTTCCCTGAGTGACAAACAAGCTCGTCTCCCCCAACGTATCTCCCGCGAGTTTCACTCCCTCCCAGTGAATTGCGAGCATTTCCATTCATCAATTAGCACACACCCACCCTCTCCTTAAAAAACATATAGACACTTCCGTCCTTAGAGACGTCTCAATGGTTAACTAGAGCCCGGAATTCGACACACAAAAGCACGTCCTCACCCCTTACGTTCCTTACGAGTCACACGACACAAGACGTCGACAATGGTCCATCACGTTACCACTACCAGGCGCTTCGCCAGTTCGAACGTTACCACTAACAGTCGCTGTTATTCCCCGTCGACGACGGCCCCAAGGCTTAGCCCGCGCGTAGCGGCGACACGGCTCGTGCTCGTCTTGGCCGTCGTCGCTCTCTCTGTCCACGCGAGCTGGGCTGAAGACACCTCTGTAGCGTTTAACGCCGTTCAGCGTGAGGCTCTCTGCCGTTTGTTGACAGCCTTTTTTCTTCTTCATTATTTTTCAATGACCTCGTTAGCACATTTAGCCTTAGTAGCCGTTGACTTTTGTAGCGTTAACAGGTTCAACCTTAGTAGCCTTGAAAAAAACCTAAGTTCTGACGTAGCTCTACCTCGCCGTTTAATAATTGACTGAACAGTTCGGTCTTTTCCGCGCCCATCCTTCCATCGCAATTCTGATATCCCTCTTAGGGTGCTGCTGTTCCGAATGTCAAGTCTCAGTCTCGTTTTTTTTTTTTTTTTTTTTTTTTTTTTTTTTTTTTTTTTTTCTTCTTCTTCTTCTTCTTCAATTATTCTTTCCCCGATTTTGATATCCCTTCCGCCTCCCCCCCCCTGCCGTTCCGCCTCTCTTTCCACTTTGGAGGCGGACTGGGGCGCGCGGCGCGGTGCCACGTTGCTAACCCTCTCATCGTCGTTCCTTCCACCCGGGGCCTTCCCGTCCCTCCCCCCCCGCCCCGTCCACACCCCCGCCCGTCCACCCCCCCGCCCCGTCCTCCCCCCTCCCCACCCTATCCTTCCCCCTGCCCTTCCCCCCGCCGGCGTTCCGCCAGTGGCGGCGCTAGACGCGCTGAAGGTGGAGTGGGGCGCGTTCTCGTACAGCACCTCGTGGACCAGCACGGCGCAGTGCCTACTGTACCCCAAGTCGCCCAAGGTCGCGGTGCGCTGGGGGCTCAACTGCGACGCGGACGGGAACGTCATCCGCCTGTGAGTGGCGCGCGGGGAAAGCGCGGGGACGAGCGCGGGGAAGAGCGTGGGTGAGTGGGGCTCGGGGAAAGCGCGGGGGTGTGCGCGGGTGAATGGGACGCGTGGGAGAGCGCAGGCGAATGTGGAGATCGTGGGTGAGTGGGGCGGGGGCGCGGGTGAGTGTGCGGGGGAGAGACGGCAGGGAGTGCCAGTGAGTGGGGCGCGGGGAAGTTTCTGCGGTGAGTGGGGTGTGAAGGAAGGCGGCGGGGGGTTGAAGAGCGTTGAGGGTTGTGGGAGGGCGAGGGCAGAGGATGGGATCGGAGAGGATAGGAAGGAATGCCAGCCACTTCAAGTGCTTTCTTCCCACCCTTTTCTTTCTCCCCTACGCTTTAACCCCAACCCCCCCCCCCCTCCCTCCTCCCCTTCTCCCCCTGTTTCCCCCTTCCTCCCTGGTGCTTCCTCACAATTCCCTCGCCTTTTCTCCTCTTCCCTCCCCCTCCCCCTCCCCCTCCCCCTCCCCCTCCCCCTCCCCCTCCCCCTCCCCCTTCTTCCTTCCTCGTTTCCCCCATCCCTCCTCTCTTCTCAAAACACCCTGTCGTTCTCTTTACGCTGGTTCTTCTCCCTACCCTCTCCCGCCTTCCATCTCCCCCCCGTTTCCAGTATCTCCCCTCTTGCGCCGTCCAATCCGCCCCCTTCCCTATCCCAATCCCCCCTCATTCTCATCTAATTCCCTTCCTTCCCTCCTCCTCCCCCCCCGTTTCCCCTCCCTGAAACCTACGTGTGATTTTGTTCCCCTTTTCGAAGCAGTGACTTGCATGGGCTGGGCTGTGTGGGTTCCTTCTCCACCAGTCTCAGCAAACTGACCGCGCTCACCATGCTGTCAGTTCCACCTGCCACTTGCCGCACCACCACCACTTCTGCTGCTGCTGCTGCTGCTGCAGCTGGCACTGTTTCGACCGTCTTGCTCCCTTGTCGCACACAGTTTCCCCACCACACTGGTTCCCTTACAAAGCCATGCCATGCCTCTTGCCTTGCCTTGCCTACCCGTGCCATGCCATGCCTCTCATCCTGTCTGCTTATCTCTCATCAACCATCTTTCTCTGTGTCTCTCTGTCTGTGCCTGTGTATGTATGTGTGCGTGGACTCGCCTCGCACGCAATCCCCTTTGTGTGTGCGTGCGTGCATGTTTACGTGTGCGTCTATGTGCCTACGCACGTCTCTGCATCTGTGTGCGTGCGACACAGAGATTTGAGTTTCAACAGCATAACAGGCTCCATTCCAGACTTCATATCCACCCTGGATAAGCTGCAGTTCCTGTGAGTAGCTCTTTCAATGCTTCCTAAAGCTGCTCTGCCAGTTCACCTCACACGCTCGCTTCAGTTCCGCACTCCCCCTCCCTTTGCATTGCAAAATTCCAATTCTTGCAGGGTATTCTGAGAATTGTATCAGATACAATGCCTTGAGTCCTCATTCTTGAATAGAAATTACGGTTCTGTCACCTCCCCGCGTCTCCCCTCCGATTTTTCCTGTTGTACCTCTCTTCAACAAACATTTGTCGTGCATGTGCGGTACGTGCGTGTGCGTGTGCGTGTGCGTGTGTGTGTGCGAGTGCGTGCTTGTGTGTGTGTGTGTGTGTGTGTGTGTGTGTGTGTGTGCGTGCGTGCGTGCGTGCGTGCGTGCGTGTGTGTGTGTGTGCGTGCGTGCGTGTGTGCGTGCGTGCGTGCGTGTGTGTGTGTGTGTGTGTGTGTGTGTGTGTGTGCGTGCGTGTGCGTGCTGCCCCATCCCATCCCAACGGCCAGGAGTCTCAACTACATGCCGTTAACAGGCTCGTTACCCTCAGGTCTTGCCAACCTGCGCTCTCTCAATTACCTGTACGCCCACCGCTTCCCACCGCTTCCCACCGCTGCCCACCACTGCCCACTGCTGCAAACTGCTGCTCGCCGCTGCACTTACCCTTTATCCTGCTGCCGCCGCCGCCGCCGCCGGTGACGCGGAATCTGCTGTGCTAGCTTGCGCATTCACGACCCTTCTTATTTTCTTCATTCTTATGCCCAAGAGGCCTTTTGATTGGTTCGCCGAATTTGCGTTTAATAACACCCACTTGCACTGTTCACCCTTCCTGTCCCAACTCCGCCCCTGACCCTCACCTTCTCCTCCCACCCCCCCCGATTCTCTCCCCTCTCCCCCTCCCTCTCGCTCCCAGGGGAGTGTCCAACGCGCAACTCACAGGTCCCATCCCGGCCGCATTTCGAAACTTCAAATCTCTTGAAACACTGTACGACACGACACAGCAACAACAACAACGACAACAACCCTATCCCTCGCTCATAAGCTCATAAACAACAGCTCTGTCCCTAGAGAATGAACCCTCTCTGCCCAACTGCGCGTCTTTCCCTCCGTCCTTCCGTCTACTGTCCGTCTCTCCGCCTGTCTGTCTGTCATACTTGGCTGTCTTTTGCCCCACCGTCCGGCCTTTTCCTCACAAATTCCCTTCCGCAGTAGAGAGACGCCTTCTTTTCCCGCTTCATACGCCATGTCGCTTTCGTGTCCCCTGCATGATGCTCATCCTACTGTCCTACTGCTCATCCTACTATCGCACACTGCCGTCTCCGAGAGTGTACTGGCCAACAAGCAGACAACCAGCTGACCAGTACAATAGTGACAGACACTCTTTGAGGCGCCTTGAAATTCTCCTCTCTCAACCCTCTCCCCCGCTTCCCCCCTGTTCTTCCCTCTCTTCTCTCCGGCAGTTCTCTGGCCAACAACCAGTTGACAGGCGCCCTTGGGGCCTTGCCTTACATGACACACCTCAGAGACATGTAAGTGAAGTGACCCCCTCCACCCCTCTCCACGCCCCTCCACCCCTCTCCACCCCTCTCTCCCCTCCCCAATTTCCCCTCCCCTCCCTTTCCCCCTTTCCGCTCCCCTCCTCGTCCCCCCATTCCGTCTCTCCTTTCTCTCCCGCCTGCCCCTCCACCCTACCCGTCCCTCATTCACTTTTTTCTTCCTTTCTGCTGGCATCTGCTGTTCGTCGTATGATCTTATCCTCCTCCCGTCCATGCCTATTACAAATTCCCAGTCCCCTCCTTACACCACACTCCTACCCCGCTCTCCCCTGCCCTTCACCTTTCCCCTCTCCTGTCTGTCTCCCTCCTTCTCCCCTGTTCAGCCACCTCGCCTGTCTGTGTCCTAGCTAATGCTGTTCGCTAGCGCTGTTCTCTCTCAGGCTCCTCGCTAGCAAAATCGCTGCCACCAGTCTCTTCTCTCTGCTATTCTGTCTCCCTCTGTTCCTTTCTGAACCTCAATGGTGCCCCTCCCCTCTGTGTGCCCCTCTGTACCCCTCTGTGCCCCTCTTTGCGCCCCTCTTTGCGCCCCTCTGTGCCCCTCTGTGCCCCTCTGTGCCCCTCTGTGCCCCTCTGTGCCCCTCTGTGCCCCTCTGTGCCCCTCCATGCCTCCCACCTCGCCCACCTCTCAGCTACCTATCCAGCAACGCGTTTACAGGCTCCCTGCCCGCAGCACTGGCCAACGCCGCCTCTCTACACAACATGTAAGCCTGCCCTGCCCTGCTGCCCTCCTGCCCTCCTGCCCCCTTTGCTCGTGTGCTGGGGCCACTTGTGTGCTTGTATGCTTGGGAAGGGGAGGGAGGGGTTGGGTGGGAGGGGTTGGGAGAAGAAGGGGCGAAGCAGCTTCAACAACCTTAGGACGGGCGGATTTCCTTCACTGCCTTTCGCTTGGTTGCCCTGGTTCCCCCGCCACTGCTGCTGCCACTGCTGCTGCTGCCACTGCTGCCACCGCTGCTGCTGCCACTGATGCCGCCACTGCCCCCTCCTCTGCCCCCTTCACCATGCCTCCGCTGCTGCCTCCTGGAAGTTTACTCTCCGCCTTTCTTCCATCCTGTCCTTCCATAGTCCTTCCGTACCCCCATACCTTACCCGATAACCTCTCTGCATTGAATCTGCGTGCAGAGACGTGAGCAACAACCGGCTGTCGGGCAGCATACCTGCAGCGTATTCCAAGCTAAAGAAACTTGAGTCCTTGTCAGTATAACCACCTTCGTTTCACACCTCCTTTCCTCCCTCCCTCCCTCCCTGCCTCCCTGCCTTCATGCCCCCCTTCCTCCCTCGCCCCAGCACTCTCTGCAATGCCCTAATTTTGCTTCTTGCCCCTCGCCTATCGCTCTTCCTTTGCCCTGTTTCGTTGCCACCCCTTTCTCTCCACTGTGAGGGTTGCTTTCGCGTCGTGTGTCCCTTCCATCCATGGTTTCATCATCAAATTCCGCGCATTGATTTTCATGTGTGCCCTCCCAAATGCCTGTGTGCCTGCCCAATTCCCATGCATAATGTTCACACGTGCTGCAGTAACATCAGTGGTAACCAGATCACAGGCACCATCCCAAACGCATTCACCAGTGGAAACATCTGGGCTCTGTATGTGTCAGACCATCCCTTATGCCATGTTGAGACATGCCCATGCCATGCCATGCCATGCCATGCCATGCCATGCCATGCCATGCCATGCCATGCCATGCCATGCCATGCCATGCCATGCCATGCCATGCCATGCCATACTGCAAGTTTTGCGTTGGGAACCTATCTACACCGTGCCCTCACATTCCATCCCATTATACCATGCGTGCATGCCTCTCATGTTCCGTCCTTACATTTCTTTGTCCACAAACAATGTTAGTCACCACCACCCCACGTACTAACCCCTTCTCTCCACCCGCCTCTTTCTTCACCGCTCTCAATGACCTATCGTCCAAGTCGTTGACAGGAGCCTAGTTTTGAGGCGCCTCAAAACTAACCCCTCTCTCTCGCTCTCTCTCCACCCGCCCCTCTCCTCCTCCTCACCGCCCGCAGTGACCTATCTTCCAACACGTTGTCAGGAGCCCTACCCAAGTCTATAAGCAACCTCCCTCGCATTCAATTACTGTAAGCTTTCATCCCCCCCCTGCTCCCAACCTCCCCCACCAGCCCCCTCGCACTCCCTTCCTTCCCCACTGGCTTGCTTATTATCTCTTTGTCTTCCAACAACCCCCCACCCTTCTCTTTCTTCCCTTAAAAACAATCCCCCGTCCCCACCCCCCCACACCTCCTCTCCCCCACCTCTTGTTTTTCCATCTACCCCGCCTCCGTACCCTCTCCCCTCCCCAGAAATACGCAGGCCAACTCTCTCACAGGCAAGATACCGGCATTCAAGTCCCCGCAGCTGGCCGGGCTAAACGTAGCAAACAACTATTTCTACGGGCCAGGCAAGGTGACAAGACAGTTGGCCGGAACGTCGTGCATTGCCTCGATGCCGTATGGAGGCAAGGGCGAGGGCAACTGCTTCATGCCCTCCTCGTCTTGCTCGGAGCCCCAAAAGGTGCCGTCGGCTTGTTCCATGTTCTGTGGGACGAATATGATCACAGGCGTGGGGCAGTGCAAGAATAAGGGAGTGTGCATCGGACACCCGAGGCCTCATTGCACGTGCAAGTACAAGAAGTGGCCCTGGAATGCCATGTATTGCCGACAACTGATGTGATCTGATGCAATGCGGTTTTATGCGATATGAATATCTATTGCCCAAGAGGGCTTTCTTTTTTTTTTTTTTTTTTTTCTTTGATACTTAAATAGTAGGTAGTACAAGGGCTTCTTGTATATTTGTGGTTGTGCAGGTTGTATAGACCAGCAATATATATGTTTATATCCTTGGCTGGTTGATTGCTAATTACTCAGAAACGGCATGTTACTGGAACTGTGTATTCAGTCCTGGGAACAACTTCCTATGAAAAAGCTTTCGTAGCCTGGCAATAACGGGAACTGGGCATTGAGTCCCGAACGGCGACCTGGGAGGCAGAGCTGAAGAAACCTTTCCTTCACAAAATATTTGTACCTTTCCCCTAGATATTACCTCGTTCGCCGCCCTGATATTTTCCTCTGTCCCCTCCTGTCCTCTTGTCCGCGACTCGTGCGGCGATCGAATCGCAGACAGCAGAGATGAAGGTACTGAATCCGCCTTTGTTATAGCACGGTCGAATCTGACCGATTTGAACTGCAACAGGGAGAATTCAGCCCCGTTCTCGTCCTGTCAACCGTTCTAAAGTTATCGTTCAACTAGATCAGAGTCCAAAGTCCCAAGTGCTTTCCGATTCCGCTCCATTGCATACCGAGAGTTCTAATCTGACGGCTCTTAACGTTCTCCGCGGTTCCCTTCCTCGTCCCTGCCTCGTCCCTTCCTCGTCCTTTCCTCGTCCCTTCGTCTCCGCCTTTCGAGGTGGTGGGTGCAGATCCTCGCTAAACGGCGAGTTGCACCGATCATTGCGGCTCACTTAACCCTCTCCACCGCTTTCCACCGCTCTCCACCCCACTCCACCCCTCTCCGCGCCTCCAGGTGGCGGTGCAGGGTTGCGCGCATGGCGAGCTGGACGACATCTATGCGACGATCGACCACATGCGACGGCAGCGAGGCATACCCATAGACCTGCTGCTGTGCTGCGGTGACTTCCAGGTGAGGAGGCTTCCAGGTGAGGAGGTGCCTCAATCAGAACAGCTTCTGATTGACGCGCGTCAGGCTCTTCTCCTCCTATCTCCCATTTCCCCCATTTCCCCAATTTCCCCCATTTCCCTTATGTCCCCCATTTCCCCTATATCCCCCATTTCCCCCACTCCCTCCCACCTCCCCCTCCCCCCCCTCGTTTCCCATTGTCACGACTTCCCCCCAACCCCTTTCTCCAATCCCCTTTTCATCCGCCACCCGCTTGCCTGATTCGTACCCCTGCCAGGCCATCCGCAACACAGGCGACTTGGAGTCTTGGAGTCGCTTGCGTGCCCGCCCAAGTACCACGCCGCAGCATGAACAGCCTCTGAGTTCTGACCTAGGCGTCCAAACATCCTCCCCTCTTCACCTCGTCCTTCCCTGCTTGCTTGTCAGGCCATTCGCAACACGGGGGACCTGGAGTCGCTGGCGTGCCCGCCCAAGTACCGCAGCATGAACAGCTTCTGGAAGTACTATGCCGGCCGAGAGACACCCCCCGTGCCGACCGTCTTCGTGGGCGGCAACCACGAGGCCTCGAATTACCTCTGGGACCCCCCTCCTGCCCCTGCCTGCCTGCCCCCCTGCCTGCCTTCCCCCCTGCCTGCCTGCCCCCCTGCCTGCCTGCTCCCCTGCCTGTCTGCCAGGCCATCCGCAACACGGGGGACTTGGAGTCGCTGGCGTGCCCGCCCAAGTACCGCAGCATGAACAGCTTCTGGAAGTACTATGCCGGCCGAGAGACACCCCCCGTGCCGACCGTCTTCGTGGGCGGCAACCACGAGGCCTCGAATTACCTCTGGGATCTGTGCGTTGGATGTTGGGGAGGGGGATAGGGGGAAAGGGAAAAGGAGAGGGAGGAGGGTGGAAGGGGAAGCGGGGTCCTGTGCGTTTTCGTGGGCGGCAACCACGAGGCGTCGAATTACCTCTGGGACCTGTGCGTGATGGGGGGGAGGGGGGGAAAACTGGGGCAATTGAGGGGGATGGTGCGGAGGGGAGGGGGAGGGGTGGCAACCACGAGGCGTCGTATGACCTCTGGGACCTGTGCGTGATGGGAGAGGAGGGGGGGGGAAAGGATGGGGAAGGAGGGGAGGGGGGAGGGGGGGAGGATTGGAAGGGGGTAAAAGAAGAAACGGGGGAAATGGGGACGGGATGGAGGGATGGAAGGTGGGAACGGAAGCTTTTGCATCGCCAATTTTCAACAAGGCTCACTATCCTATGTTTTGTTCCAGATTTACCCACCTTGCTCCCTCCACTTCCCCACCCCATTCCTCTGTACTTCCCCTCCTTCTCGCTCGTTCCCTTTCCCCTCATTCCAACCCACCTCGTCTTCTGCTCCTTGCTCTCTCCCACCAACCTTCTCCAAGTCTCCCCCATTTCCCCCCAAACCACCCTATCCCCCACTCTACACCAGCTACTTCGGTGGGTGGGCGGCTCCTAGCATATACTTCCTGGGCTTTGCAGGGGTGGTGCGGTTTGGGGGGTTGCGCATAGGAGGACTGTCGGGGATCTACAAGAGCCACGACTTCCGCCTTGGTAGGTAAATGGGCGGGGAGGGGTGGCAGGGGCGGATTCGAGACGTCTCAAAACCTAGCTTTGAGACTTGTCGAAACTCGCATAGGAGGACTCTCGGGGATCTACAAGAGCCACGACTACCGCCTCGGTACATGGGAGGGAGGGGAGGGGATGGGGAAAGGCTCTGTCCTATTGTTGCTTTGTTTTTGCCTTTCTTGGTATACCTGCTTGGCTCTGTTGGGTCTACTTTCTCGCACACTCTCCCTTCTCACGCGCTCCTCCTACTTGCCCACACTCCCCCTTCACGGGCACCAACGCAGGTCACTATGAACGCCCTCCCTACAACGACTCGCAGCTGCGATCCATCTACCACGTGCGTGAATACGACGTCACCCGCCTCGCCGCCCTCACATCCCTCCCCTCCTCCCTCCCCTCCTCCCTCTCCTCCTCCTCTTCCGCCGCCAACGGCTCTCTCCCAGCCTCCGCTAACGGGTCTCACATGGACGTGTTTCTCTCGCACGACTGGCCACGCGGGGTGGAGCAGCACGGGGACACGGCGTCTCTGCTGCGCGCCAAGCCCTTCTTCCGCGGGGAGGTGGAGCGGAATGCGCTAGGCAGCCCTGCAGGCGAGACGCTGCTGCACACTCTGCGCCCGTCCTACTGGTTCTCTGCACACCTGCATGTCAAATTCTCCGCGCTGGTCAAACATTCTCCCGCTGCTGCTGCTTCTCCTGCTCCTGCCGGTGTATCCTTATCCTCCTCCTCCGCCTCCCCCTCCTCCTCCTCGGGCGTGACTCGCTTCTTGGCCTTGGACAAATGTCTTCCTGGCAGGCAATTTCTACAGGTGTGATTGGGGCATTGGGATAAGCCGGCCACTGCCACTGCCTTGCCTTTACCACTCACTGCCGTATCACCACTCGCCGCCGTCTTCCTCTATGCCTTTACCACCCACTGCCGTGCCGTGCCGTGCCTCTATTTTCTCTGTCTGTCGCTCTCCCCCCTCGCTCTATCTCACTTGCAGCCTTCTCCCCTGTGTGATGAAAACACCGAGTCCATTGCACAGCAGCCCTCAACCCTCTCCAACCCCCTGCCTTCCACACACGCACCCAGGTGATTGATTTCCCGGACATTCCCTCCTCGCAAGCAGCTGCTGAGCACGGCTCTGCAGCAGCAGCACCACCGGTCTTGGAGTACGACCCGCAATGGCTCGCTGTCACGCGTGCCTACGCGCCCTACCTGCCGCTCTCCCATGCGGGAGCTGTCTACCCGTAAGGCAGGCACTGCACGAGTCTCTAGAGGATTTGTCAAAATGGCTGATCGTGCAGGTCTGGAAGTTGAACGTCTGGAAGTAGCACTTGTGGACTTACTCTCAGGCGTTCAATTGCCGATCTGATCCTTGTTGCTCTTGTGTCAGACAGAAAAGCGTGTGTGTTTTGTCATCGTCATCCCCCCTTTTCTCCCCCTGATATCATCCCCCTTTCGCATCTCTCTTCCGCCACCTCTCTTCTTGACCACGTTTGAAGCACTTTTCCTGCACCCGTCGATCCCCCTTCCCTGCATCTGGAGTGGATATCCCACCCACTTTGTCTCCCAGCATCCCCTCTCACATCCCGTCCCTCCCCAACCATTACCTTATTGCCCCTCTTATCATCTTCACCTCCTGTCTGCACTCCCCCTCCCATCCGATCCCCTCCCCTACCCTCCCCTCCCCTCGCCTCCCCTCCCCTCCCCCCCTCCCCCCTCCCCTCCCCTCCCCTCCCTTCCCCTCCTCTCCCCTACTCTCCTCTCCCCTCACCTCCTGTCTCCTCCCGTCCCTCCCCTCCCTACTCCCCCCACGTTCACCCACCACCCTAAGCCCACCGCGTGCATCAGCCTAGGGGGGGGATTCAGTGCAGCCGCACATGGAGAGGGTGGCTTTTACTTTGAGAATTCTCAAAAGTAAAATCCACCCTAAGCCCACTGCGTGCATCAGCCGGGGGGATTCAGTGCAGCCGCACATGGAGAGGGTGGCACACCCTCCTCCCAACAACCCACTTTTCCTTCTCACAACCCTCCTCTCCCCAACCCCCGCCCATCCCACACCCCCACCACGGCCCGCATCAGTCCGGGGGGAGTCTCCGTCCAGCCGCATCTGGACTGGGTGACACACCATCTCTCCCAGCATTCCACTACTGGATGGCACATCCTTTCCCTCTCCCCACCCCTCACCTGTCCATCCCACCATGGCCCGCATCAGTCCAGGGGGAGTCTCCGTCCAGCCGCATCTGGACTGGGTGGCACAGCGTCTCGCCCAGCAGCCTGGTGGTGCGGCCATCCCTGCTAACTTCACTCCCACTGCTCCGCCCTATGACCCTGACCGGCCACATGCGCGTGTGCCCACCTCCTCCGGTACGCTCGTGTGCCTCTGCCGTGGGTCGGTGTGTGTGCGGGTGTGGGTGTGGGTGTGGGTGGGTGCATGTGGGTGTGTGAGTGGGTGGGTGTGTGCATGCGGGGGTGTGTGTGTGTGTGCGTGTGCGCATGGGTGTGTGCTCATTGTGGGTGGCACGGCGTCTCGTCCAGCAGCCGCGTGGTGCGGCCATCCCCGCCAACTTCACTCCAACTGCTCCGCCCTATGATCCTGATCGGCCGCATGCACGCATGCCTGCCTCCTCCTGTACGCTCGTGTTCTTCTGCTGTGGGTCGGTGCGTGTGTGTGGGTCAGTGCGTGTGCGGGTGTGGGTGTGGGTGTGGGTGGGTGCGTGTTGGCGTGTGGGTGTGTGCATGTGGGTGTGTGGGTGGGTGGGTGTGTGCATGTGGGTGTGTGGGTGGGTGGGTGTGTGCATGTGGGTGTGTGTGTGCGCATGTGTTCAGGGTACTTCAAAGGAAGTACAAGTGACGGGAGGGGCAGTTGTGTTACTTGATTTGCCATGGCTACGCCTTGTGTTGTGACCTGGCCTTCTGCACACCTCTGGATGAGCATTCTCACGTCTGTGGGTACCGTTGCTGGTAGGCGGGTGATGCGCTGCGCGGGCTTGTCTGTTGGGTGATGCGCTGCTACGGGACCCTACGTATTCCATGTTTTCCTACGTCACCCTAAACCTGGGTGACGAGTTCCCTTGACTATTGCATGCATGCAACTCCTACTATTGCGTGACCACTCCAAGCTTCCCCTTCAATTTCCTCCCCCCAACCCCCCACTCCCCCTTCTCCCCCCTACTTCCACTCCCCTACCCTACCCCTTCACCCCTCCGCCGTACACCAGTCACAACTCTCAACCCACAAACGGCAGCGTTTCTCGACCTATTGGATCTCCCTCACTCCACTTTTCTCCGGGGAGGGTCCCCCTCACCCTCCCCAGCAGCACCTCCACCAGCCGCTGCTGCCAGCCCCAGTATGTCGGAAAAATGCTGGTCGGATCTGGTTCAATGATGTGTCCTTTCCCGGTCAAGCTTTCACCTGCTGCCGCTATTCCTTGTTCTTGTGCCACTCGCAACTTTTTTACTCCATCCATGCATCAACCTGTTGTTTACCCTGCTTGTTTTTAGTTCTGATTCGATTGTCGTTTCCTTCCTTTCTTTTTAACTTGTTTTGTATGTGCAATGTAGCTATTTGGAACAGCGACTCGTGCCCTCCAGACACGTATGAGGACCCTGAAAGCATACCTGCTGATGGAGATGCAGACGATGGTGCGTTGGAAAGGGAACAGGGAAGAAGCGGTTGGCAAAATGGGTATGCTGGCGAGATTGGTGGCGAACAGGGAGAGCAAGAAAATAAAGACAATGTTGCGAATGCGTATAAAGCCCTTGACCCAAATGAGATTGACTTGGAGGACGATGGTGACGAAGAGGATGCTTCATAAATGCAAGTGTTTTGTTTTCCCAATGCCTACATAATTCCTATATTTTTGTACGGTATTCGTCTATCCTCAACCAGATATGTGATGGATCTGATTCAAATGAGAATAGATGGGAGGTATCAATGTGAAAGGCATGATTGCGTGGCACCATTCATGAATCGCAGACGCGCTATTGCTTGCGCAGGCCACGTCGATCTGTGGCCTTTTCAGGGCCGTAGCCAGCGGCACAGAAAGTGCCAATCGCAACGTGGAGGCCTTCCCCCTCATGCAGCATCTGGCTTGTTCTGCCGCGCCGGGAGAACTTTTTGGGGCTGCGTCAGCCTTCGTCTCGCACCATTCCGCAGCTGCCACGTCAACATCCCTTTCTGCTGCTCCAAAATCGAGGTTTGGAGTCACTCGACCAATCGTGGCTGCCTGGCGGGCCTCGACGTAGTCACACACGTAGGGTTCATCCATCCACACCACCGTACAGTATCACATTTCCCCCGTTCCCTTGATTGCGTGCAAGCAACATACTTTTGCTGTGTAGCTCATCCCTCCCAAACCTACTCCACCCCACCTCACCCCAACCCCTTCCGATACCTTCAAGAATCTGTTCCCAGGGTACAAATCTGTGGACTTCCCCCCTTCCACCCTCCCCATTTTTGTCCCCTTATCACTGTGGTTTGTCTCCGCCTTTTCTCCGCGCGCCTGCGTGTCTCCCCAGCCCTTCCCTCACATCATCTCTAGGTCCCCCCCTTTCTCTAGCTGAGATCCTGAATCCCTCCGCGCGCCTGTGGTGCTTCGGCTTGTCGCCGTAAAACCTCTTGAAATTCCCCTTGCTCAAACTCCCTCAAAACTCATTCGTACCAACGTCACTCCCTCTTTTTGTCCAGCAACGTTCGCAACACTCAAGTGTCGCGTTGCTCATCAACATCCTCCCCGTTTTCCTCCCCTGCCTCAGCTCCTATCCGTTCCTCCTCGCCCGATCCAAGTCCGTCGCTTCGACAGACCCATCTCTGCTCCAAACACCACAGATCCCCTTAATCACGCGAATCCCGCCACCATGAGCGGAAGCGGAAACGGGGTCGTCGCGACCTACAATGGAACGGCGGAGGCGGGCGGCGCGGGGACGTTTTCGGTGAAGGCGGGCCTGGCGCAGATGCTCAAAGGCGGCGTGATCATGGACGTCGTCAACGTGGAGCAAGCGCGTATCGCGGAGGAGGCGGGCGCCGTCGCAGGTACGTTGGTTGAGCCGACGCGGGATTGACCCGTAGAGATCTAGAAGTTGCTGGTTCTGCACGCGTCTCGTGCGTTGTCTTGTGGAATCCCGTGTTGCACGGATCTCACGGATTCTTGTCGCAGGTCCGTTCGCGCGGATCTCACGCGGTGACACGAAAGATCGCAGTTTTCTACATCCTCCGCACCTCGCTGCTCCTGATCCGCGACGATTAAAGCACACATCGGTCATGCTGCGCTGCTGGCATCGCTTAACTAGAAGTAACATGCTCACTTGTCCAGCTAGTAGGTTCCAGGATCTTCTGAATCGCGCCGTTGATGACTTTCGCGGCCCATTCCCTGCCCTCTACTCTTCACAAATCTGCTTTTGCTGCGTCTGATGTGTCTGCTGTGCGCCGGCGCAGTTATGGCGCTGGAGCGGGTGCCGGCGGATATTCGCGCGCAAGGCGGCGTGGCGCGCATGAGCGATCCGCAGATGATCAAGGAGATCAAGAAGGCCGTCACCATCCCCGTCATGGCTAAGGTGCGCTGCGTGCTTACTGAACTCTTCGCCCGAATTCAGCGGGCCAGCAGCTGCTCCTGCTCGCCGGCCCCGCGTACCACGTTAACAATTCAACGTTTCCGTTTTTTCACTCTCTCGCCTTTCCTCCTCTCTCCCCCCTCCCTCCCTCTCCGCCTCCGCTCCCCTCCCCTTATCTTCTTTACCGACCGCGTCACTAGTCCCCGGCCTGTCACCTGCGCGAGGGAAAGTCCCTCTTGTTTTCCCTGCTCCGCTTTACTTCCCGTTCCCCTTCGCCTTTCCGTTTGCGCTTCCGCTTACGTTCCTCGATCCCTCTCCTCCCGCCCGCCCCTCACCAGGCGCGCATCGGGCACTTCGTCGAGGCGCAGGTTCTCGAGGCGATCGGCATTGATTACATCGACGAATCGGAGGTGCTCACGCCCGCAGACGACGTGAACCACATCAACAAGCACCGCTTCGCCGTGCCCTTCGTCTGCGGATGCCGCAACCTGGGGGAGGCGCTCCGGCGCGTGGCGGAAGGCGCGGCGATGATCCGCACCAAGGGGGAGGCGGGCACCGGGGATGTCATCGAGGCCGTCAGGCACGTCCGATCCGTGCAAGGGGAGATCCGACGGCTCAAGGCACTCGACGAGGATGAGCTCTACGTTTTCGCGAAGGAGGTACGATGGTCGCTGCTAACGTGGCTCGCGAAAGTGAAAATCTTCCATTCGATGGTGTTCTGTACGGTGTGGGGCGTTCGTTTGGGCTGAAGGGGGAGGGGAGTTGAGGGGGCGTTTATTTCTTAAACCCTTCAACCCGGAATTAGTCCACGGGATTAGTCTGAGCCGGTACAAGGTTTTACGAATGAAGCACGACTCTGGTTTACTCTGACGCATGGAGGAACGTCAAGACGAATGTAATCTCTGAAGCGGTTGTTTCAATACCCTGAAGGCAATTACCTTATACCACTTACAACACCTCGTTTGTTAAGTTTGCCGTCGTTATGATAATCGCCACCTTCATCAGCAGTGGTAACTTTTTCAAACGGTTCGTTGACGCACAGCTGTCTGTGCTCCCTCCCCCTCCTCCCTCCCCCTCAACCCTACCCTTCCCCCCGCCGCGTCTTCCGCCCTGCACCTCCCGCCCCGCTGTTAAGCGCAGCTGCGCGCGCCGCTGGATCTGGTGAAGCAGACGCGGGAGCTGGGGAGGCTGCCAGTGGTCAACTTTGCGGCGGGTGGCGTCGCGACGCCCGCGGACGCCGCCATGATGATGCAGCTGGGTTGCGATGGCGTCTTTGTGGGCTCGGTAAGTCACGCCTTGCCCCCTTTCGTTCCGCATACCACCTATGCCGTTGCATTTATTTGCAGGTGGGGTGCGATCGTGTGCTTCGTAATGCTGGGGCTTCGTTGTTGACCTGCTGCATAAGCATTGCTGTATGTCTCGAAATGGAACGCGTCGTGAGAGCGTTCTGGGCATCACGCATCACAGCTCAGCTCCAAACCTCCAACCTTTCTACCATCCCTCACCACAATTGAGCCCTTATCAAGCGTCCTGTTCCTCCTCCTAGCATGGCGTGAAACCACCTCACCATATTCTCGCTCTTCTCCTGTTCCTCCTCCCCCCTCCACCCTCCCTGCCCCCACCTCATTTTCCCTCTGGGCGGTCCCCTCCCTCTTACTCCTTTTCGCCTCACACTCGGCTCCCTTCGTTCATCGTGGCCCAATTTCCCACCATCCTATGGTGTTTCCCTTCCCACTTCTCCCTCCATCCTTTCACAGGGCATCTTCAAGAGCGGGGACCCAGCCAAGCGCGCACGCGCCATTGTGCAAGCTGTCACGCACTACACAGGTGAGCGTAATAATGTGCTTCCCCGAGGATCATGGGTTTATTGATGGGTATCTGGCTCTCCGTAAAGAGGTGTGTGAGGCCAGGTACCCGGGCATATGGTTCGTTACAGTAAAGCGGACCTTATCAGCTTGCTTTTTTTCCATCCCCCTTCTTCTTTCCCCCTCACCCCACCCCTACCACCTTTGCTCTGCTGAGGATGCGCTGTACACAGGCTCTTCTGGCAGTTCAACAGCATGCTTCTGTTTAGTAACTCCACATGTGTTCTTTCCCTTCTATTCACTTGACACTTTTCCATTCCCACTCCCTGGCACCTCTGCTGTCTGTCCTGCCCTTGACAGATCCCAAGGTGATAGCTGAGGTGAGCTGTGGGCTGGGCGAGGCTATGGTTGGAATTAACTGCTCCTTCGATATCAAGGAGAGATACGCTGCACGCTCTGAATAAATCAAGAGACTATGGGATCACATCACAGACCTCTCGTTCCTAGTTTCTGCTGAAGTGCTGTTGAAAAAGTTTGTGATTGGAATTATTACGGTAAAAGATTTTTCCTGCTACCGGTAGTAGCAGTCAAAAAAGTGTCGTTTGAATACTAAGCAGAAGCTTTACTATAACAGGCTACTGCTTCCGAATGTAAGAAATTTTCTCGCCATTCCATACAGAGTCCGGCTACATTGTGTACAGCACCACCAACCGGAGCTTGTGTCAGAGGTCCACTGGTGATCCCCGATGATCCTAGGGAAGGGTTACAGGCACGTTGGCCTGGGGGGTTATGGGCGCACTCACCCGCTACACAAACAAGCCCTTTTATCCCAATGGTTAGTGGCTGGGATTCTGACACTTTGCCAAATTCGCGCGCACGGTTTTGCCAAACCACTTACTGCTGGCCTGGCCGTGTCGGCCTACGCTTCGGGACTAGCCCGAACCTCGCTGCCAGCGTAGCACTAGCTAGCTCGCACGCACCGCGTTACCGTTTGCATGTTTCGCGTGTAAATGTACGCTCATGCCTTCGCTCACATTTGGTTCTCGCTTGACACTTAGTGCAATCCTCGCTACCTCGATCCATTGCACCCGTAACACCGAATGAACAGAAACCCTTCTGTCTGCCATAGTACATCTTCTCAGAAAGTAGCTACAGCGGAATGAGTAGGATTGATAGGGTTGGGGTACACATGCCTAACCCTAACTGCTTGTACCCCATATAGCATGACCCACAACAGGGTATAACATTTGACACACCCCCATAGCCTAAGTGGGGAATGCCAAGCAACAAGAAACGCAACCTAAGGTCACAAGACCAGTCACAAACAAAAGACAAAACAAAGCTCAGGGTGGATCACAACGTCACCACACAGTCTGAGCGCAAACAGCGGCCACAAGGCCAGTTCAAGAGTGTATATGCAGATATATACTGTACAAGCAAAGACAAGAGACAAGCACTCACTACTGCAGTCTACTCGACCCAGTCTCAACGAGGCCCAACTGCAGACAGAACCGGCGGTGGTCACAAGGCTGAAGAGCCTTGGTGAAGATGTCTGCAGTGTTGGCCTCGGAGGCCACGAAGTCCAGACGAGCCTGCCCGCGTCTCTGCAACTCTCGAAGGAGGAAGTACCTGACGTCGATGTGCTTCACTCTGCTCTCCAGTCGAGGCTCACGACACAGGAGAATCATCGCCCTGTTGTCAGCAAACAGGGTCGGTGCAGAGCTCGGCCGCTCACCAAGGTCAGTGAGCAAAAAGGTCAACCAGCGTAGCTCCTGAGCAGCAAGGGCCCCAGCGTAGATCTCGGCCTCTGCGGTAGAAGTCGCAACCGAGGAGGACCGAGTAGACCTCCACGAAACAGCTCCAGAACCCAGGCTGAAACAGTAACCCTGCGTAGACCTCTGAGTCTCAACGTCGTCGGCGTAGGAGGAGTCGCAGTGACTGGTGAGTACAACTGGCTGTGTCCCTCCAAGTACAAGCCCCATGCCTGATGTCGCGCCAAGGTACTTCGCCACCCTCTTAGCCGCCGCCCAGTGAACAGGACGGTGTCTCCCAGTCGCAACAAAGCGAGACAGGATGCTAAGAGGGAAGGCGAGGTCCGGGCGAGTGCACGTCATCAGGTACATGAGGCAGCCCACCAGCTCTGCGTAGGGACCACTGGGCTCGAACGGCTCGTCAGGAAAAGGCCCAGTGAGTCTGTGGTCTACAGCAAGAGGAGTGGGTGTAGGAGAGGAGTCCTGAAGCCCGAACCGCTGAAGGACCTGCTGCACCATGTGTGACTGAGTCAGAGTGATGGTGCGAGCGGCTCTGTCCCTGGAGATCTGCAGGCCAAGGTAGCGGCGCAGTTCTCCAAGGTCAGTGCACGTGTGTCTCTTCTGCAGTTCGGACTTCACCTCCGCCAGTGCAGCTGTGTCGGCTGTGGCAAAAACCAAGTCGTCAACGTAGACCAGAACGAAGAAAGGTGTGCGCCCACGACGAACAAACAGCGACGGGTCGGCGGAAGACGGCTCAAACCCGAGGTCGGAGAGAGTAGAGCGGAGAGTGTCGTGCCACTCACGGGGTGCCTGGCGGAGACCGTAGACGGGAAAGTGCCAGTGAAGCCCGGAGGACGACGCAGCCAGATCTCCTCGTGTAGGCGGCCCTGGAGGAAGGCAGTGGAGAAGTCAAGAGAGTGTAGCTCGTAGTCTCTCTGCGCTGCTACGTGCAGTAACACCCGAAGAGTGGTCATCTTCGGGGTGGGCGCGAAGGTCTGAAAGAAGTCAACTCCCTCACGCTGACTGAACCCTCTAGCCACGTAGCGTGCCTTGAAGACTGGGGGAGATCCCGGCGGCCGCTTCACCTTGAAGATCCACATGCCGTCAACGATGTTCGCCCCTGGTGGGGGAACCTCGTCAACGTAAGTGCCTGTGGACCTGTAGGAGGCCATCTCTGCGTCCATGGCAGCTCTCCACTAAGAGGCCCAAGGCCCTGACACTGCCTCAGCGTAAGTGCGAGGAGTAGGTATGTCAGGAGCGTCGGGGTCTCCCTCAGGAGTGAGCAGCATGGCACAGAGATGAGGCGAAGCAGCTGCCAGGAACTCTAGCTCAAACTGTCTGTCCTCTAGGACGTCACAGCCAAGGGCAAACTCACCCCCGGCGGACAGAGGACGGACAGGAGGAGCGGCCACAACACGAGTGGCGTAGTCAAGGCGACGCGTAGCAGTAAAGTCAGTGACAGCGGCAGTGAGGACCGCGACGGAGGAAGGGGAGGCACGAGGGTCTGTAACAAGAGAGGCGAGAACACGAGAGAGAGTGGGGCGGTACGTGCGGTAGTAGTCAGTGACCGGAGTGGACAGGGAGGCAGTGAGGGAAGACTCAGGAGGACGAGGAAGGGCCGACGGAGGAGAACGAGGAGGACTAGGACGAAACAACACGGTACGGAGGTCAGTGACAGGGGACGAGGGACGAGCACGAGGAGGACGAGAGGCCCAAGTGTGGGCGAGAGGAGTGGGGGACGGAGGAGACAGAGAACGAGGGAAGACAGCCGGAGTGGAGTCCGGAGGAGGAAACGTAGGACCGAACACAGGAGGAGAGGAGGGGAGACCAAGGGCCCGAAGGCCAGAAACAGGGGGCGGAGGCTGCTGCGGCTGCTGCTGCTGCTGCTGCTGCTGCTGCTGCTCCCGCTGCAACTCCAACCTCTCACTCTCACGCTGCTGAAGCTCCAACCTCTCACGCTCCAAACGCTGCTGCTCCTCGCGCTCAAGACGAAGACGGGCCTGGTGGCGAGTCGGGTAAGGGTGAGGAGACGACGAAGAAGAACCTGCTCCGCCGTCGACAGCACCCGGCTGAGCACCCCCAGAGCGAGTACCCCCCGCGGCAGCACGACCTGCACCTGCAGGAGGTGTACCCGCACCCCCAGGCGTGGTGCCCCCAGTAGCACCAGCACCAGCCCCAGACTCTCCAGCTCCAGAAACACCACCAGCTCCAGCACCACCACCAGCTCCAGTACCCTCGGAACGGGCAGCTGCGGCAGGTGCACGCTCAGCGCCAGTGCCAATACCCCCAGAACTGGCCGCTCCTGTAGGTGCACGAACAGCTCCAACGCCAGCACCCCCAGAGCGAGCACCGCCAGAGCCCTCACCGCTAGCACCGACACCCTCAGTGTCCGCAGTGGCCGGTGAAGGAAGCGCCGACGGCTGCTGCGGAGGCGGTGAGGACGACTGTGGGGAAGGAGGAGAGACCTGGGGGGGTACCGAGGGAGGGGGAGTAGCGTGAGACACACCAGACGGAGCGGGAACAGGGGGGGGTACCGGAGGAGCAGGGGCGGGAGGAGGAGGAGCTGGAGCCAGGAAGAGGGGAGGGGGGGGAACCGGGAGACCTCGAGAGGGGTACCTGACGTAGTAGGGGACGGACTCGTCGAAACGGACGTCACGAGAGTCAAAGAACCGGTGGGAGGGTGGGTGGTAAAAGGTGAAGTCAGAGGAGCCCTCTGGGAAACCAAGGAAGACACAGGGGACTGCACGAGGCGAGATCTTGTCCGCAGAGGTGTCGCGGACAAGAGCCAAGCAGCCCCAGACACTAAACCTCGACGCAACACCAGGGGACCCTGTCCAAAGACTGGTCGGTGAAGCCCCTGGCCGAGAGACGCGAGGCCAGAGGTTCAGCTGGTGAGCGGCGTACCGAGCCGCGTAGGGCCACAGAAAATGGGGCGCGCGGGCGTGGATCATGGAGGTGCGGGCGATCTCCATGACCAGGCCTAAGCGGCGCTCAGCAACCCCATTCTGCTGTGGAGAGTCTGGAAGAGTCCAGGACTGGGTGATGCCCTGCTCAGCACAGAATCTGGCGAGAATGCCGGAGCGAAACTCACCCCCACGGTCGGAGTGGAGACAACTGACACGACGACCACGAGTGCCCTCGGTGGCGAGCAGCCACCGGATCAGCGTAGAAGTCACGTCGGACTTCTTCGCCAAAGGGAACACGGTGGTGTACCGAGAGAAATCGTCAACGACCACCAGAAAGAAACTCTCCCGCTCAGGGCCAAGGCGGGAGGCGGGGCCCCAGACGTCTAAGTGGAGTGTCTGGAAGGGCTCGGTGGCCGGACGAAGGGAGGAGGAGTGAGGGGTGGCGCGAAGCCGACCCTGGACACAAGGACCGCACGGAGGAGCTGGGGACGGCGGGAGTGGCGGGAGGACTCGGGGGAGGCCTAAGACAAGACGCTGACTGGACATGGCGCGCAGACGAGGAAGGGACGGGTGCCCCATCCGGTGGTGCCACAGAACGGTGGGGTGGGCAAGCGACCGACACGAGCACGACGCAGCAACTACACCTGACACAGCAACCTGACTGGACCCGGCTACCTGGTGGGACGGGGGAACCTGACGGGGGTCGGTGCGGAGGGTGTACAGACCAGAGCCCGGCTCCTGGCGGAAAGTGGCCAAGGGGGCGTACGTGTCACCGTCGACGCAGACCGCGGTGTCACCAGAAGGCTC